GGATCAACCAAGAGGACAGACCAGGGCGGAACAGGGTTCCCCCAGGGATTACCGCCTGGTGTTTAACGATTGGACTGATTTTGAGCCCACGTTCCCTATCAGACCCCCTTCTGATTTCCCGGACCCCTTCCCCCCTCACCAGCTTTCCGTAGTTGAGGCTCTTTTCTGAAATTTAAACCCCCCTGGCCCCTGCCCATCGGTCAAGAATCACCCCCGGTGCCCCCCGGGGTAGCAAAAGGTTCTGCAACAGCTTCGTGTCTCTGCAAGTCTGTGCAATTGGTGAAATCCTTCAGATTTAGAGTAGGCATTGCAGTCACATCAGGAAGAGGTGCTCAATCTGGCGGCCGGATCAGGGCTGAAGAGATGTCTCTGCAATACTGTCCTCCCGGTGCCCCCCGGGAAATGCTTATCAAATGCTTACCCTTGTATACTGGCGGGTGGGGATAGTCAATCCTCTGGATTCCAGAGTAATCAATGCTGGCAGGCTTTCCTTAACCTCCCTTCCTGGTTCTTTCCAGATCTTCCAGTTTCACTCTGTATATGGGACGCTGGACCCGTTTTCCAGCAGGTGATGCTCCCCACCAATAGATGGAGCCTCTCCCGGGTGCTAGTGGTATCTGCTTCTACCAGTACCACTAGCACTGCAGGGGGGGTGTTTAAAACAAGAAAAAAAAAGAAAAAAAGATTGTCCTCAGGCTGAAACAAACGGGGCTGACGGGCAATTAATTGCTTCCCACCTTTCATGGAGAGTGACATCAGAAACAGACGAGATTCGTCTTTCTCTGCAAAAAAAGAAAGGAAAAATGGAAACGAAAAGGCATAGTACACTCTGAACATGATCGCGGATCCTTGTCTCAGCCTATTTCCATTTCAGGCATACTCACGCTGACACTTTCCAAGATGTATCTGACTGCATGAATCTGAAGGCAATCACATTCAGAGCTTAGTATGCCTTTGCTTTTCCGTTCTTTTTGGGGGGGAAAGGGCCTAGTTGCACTACTCGCCATACGCCAAGTTTGGCGAGTAGGCGCCTGGTTGCACTTACTCGCCAAACTTGGCGAATGCAAAATGTGTCAGACGGCTCGCCACACCGTCGACACAAGCTGTGGAGAGTGTATTCGGTTTCCCCACCTGTGCACACGGCGTTTTGTGGAGGGTGGTGGTCCTCGGACCTCTCCACAAAACAACTTTCTGGAGAGTGCAAGGCTTCACGAGTCGAAATCAGGTAGACAATTTTTTTTAACTTCTCTGTAGAAGAAATACAGTGGCGAGTAAGTGCAACCAGGCCTCGAGTTCAACACGATTCTCCTTTTTTTCACTATCCACGCATCCACCATGAGTTGTGACGGATGGCAAGTAGTGCTACTACGCCCAAAGCCAGAGCACTGTCACAGTTTCAGGGTCGGTTGGGGATGTGTTGTACTCGAGGGATGCCTGAACTGGATTTAAAACAGAAAATAGTGACTGCACCCTAGTTACCCCTTCTTTTTTTTTTCAGAAGAAAGAAGAATCTTGTCCGTCTCTGATGTGCTTAGGAGAAGTTAGGACTTTCTTTACTGCGCTCTGGTCCTGATCGCAGTCAGATTCATCCGAGCGTGGCTGTAGCCGGAGTGAGATACTATGCCCGAAAATTCCGAAATATGAATAGGCTGTGATTGTGAATCATTCTCTCCCCGCCTCTCACCGGAAGGGAATGGCCATGATTTCAGTAAGGGCATAATCACACTGGGGAGTTTTCTACTTAGCTGTGGAAGAGATTGCCTCTAGATTCATCCACAAGTGGCTGTAAGGCCAGATTTTTTTTAATTTTTTTTTTTGTGCACCTTCTTACGTTGCTTTTTCATTTTCTGACACCTTCTGGGTCCGTACACGTTTCCACATGCACCACATAAACCAGCAGGCTGAGCAGGGCATCTTGCAGTCCATTTGCCCTTTTCCTTGGGCCCGCCGTCTTGCACTGCCAGGTCTTCCCGGACCCCTAAAAATGCAGAGCCGCGTATTTTTTTTTCAAGCAGGGCAAAGTACTGGTGGTTCAACCGCATCTCCACAAACACCTCCAAATTCGGCCGTTGAGAGAACTCAGGGCTGCTAGTGGAACTTGGCCCCTGAACATAACACACCCTCATCAATGTCTTGTATTCATTAAACCACCAGTACCTCGCTCAGCTATTGAGTCCGAGCCTCCCAGCACACAGCGCGCCAAGTCCTGCCGAACTGCCGTCGCAATTTTCTTTTTCGTTTTGCCTGCGGCCTCCAGCCAATGCGGTCGGGCAGGCCCGAGCCCAAATGGCGCGGCGCGTATACGGGAAGCGCCGCGGCCGATAGCTGGGCCAGGTACTGGTGGTTTAAAAATCAGGGTGTGTTGTCTTGAGGCCTCAGGCAGTGGACCACATTTTCAATCTGGCCCCAGGTACAGGTTGAAGAGGTGTTCCCACCAACAAGGTGAGATGAGAGACGGACTGACCAGCTCAATCAGCCCAGGCATGAGGAAAGAGGTGAAAAATTCACATGGATGATACACAATCTCACCCGCATGCCAAAAGGAGTCAACGGACAATATCATTAATGCACAAAATGTCCAAAGAGCCAACAGGATGAACAAGAATCCGTAGGTCATCCCACCACATTCCACAGTCTGGCTGGCACTGAAGACCTGTTCATGTTTTCGTTCCTTGTAAATCCTACCCCTTAAGCAGCATTGGCCGCGGGGGAGAGGTCGATGTTCCGCTGCACGCCGGAATCACGTCGAAGTTTTGGTGCGGGCCGGCGGATGAACGTGATCGAGGGCGGGGGGGGGTGCAGAGTGGCGCACGTACCGAATTGTGCACAGTGTGCCACTAAACGAGAGAGCGCGCTCACGGGGCCGGGTACACGGCGGGCGTCGATGCGGATGAATATCTCGACGCGCCCGCCGTCGGATAGCATTTCGGCGTCGTTTTGTGTCCGGCCCTCTTTTTTCTCTTTTTTGCTTTCGTGTTTCGCATTCTTAAAAAAATTGTCCTTTTTTTTTTTTTTTTTTGAAGGTACAATCTCTGTTTTTTTTTTTTTTTTTTTTTTTTTTTTTTTAAACAAAACCGGGAATCGGGCCCGGTGTCCCTTATATTACAAATCCAGGAAACGGGCCTGGCATCCCTTACAAAAATTCCCCAGTCCGGTTTTAAGGCTACACATCACCGGTCAAGCCCAAAAATAGGCTGTCACTCAGCATGATGTTATGCACAAAAGGCCTGAAAAAGAAAAGCTGAAAGTAGAAACAAATCACTATTTGACTAAAAGTATGATGCAGTTGTAATATTAAACTGCCTCCCTCACCTCAATGTCGTGTACAGAAAGCCAGAAAGAAAACCAGAGAGAAAACCAGAGATTGAAGCAAATCAATGTGTAACCACTAATATCTAACTACGGTTGTACTACTGAACTGCCTCATCCTCTAATGCTATGCACAAAAAAGGCCAGAAAGAGAAGTAGAGCAGTCAAAAAAAAAAAAAGAAAAAAAAAAGTCTCTTACAAGTATCGTTTCTAAAATGATGAAGCGATGCAGAAAAGGGAACTCAATAAAAGGAAGATTCACACATGTGTAACGGAGAGGTCTTAAAGAAAACAGGAAGAAAATTGAAGTTCCGGACTATGGCAAGATTGAGCAGACATCACCACCAGACCCGTGAACTGGGCCCATTGTGTGTGGAATCTTTTGAGAGCCTTTGCAGAGAACCCTTTGGGGCTTGTTAGACACTCCTCGGGCACTCAAAAATCCCGAGGAAATGATCGTTCCATCTGTCCTCGGAGAGAATTCCTTGGAAACCAATGTGAAAACATTTCCTCGGGGCGTCCTCGGGCCGTCCTCCGGCTACAGGCATTTGGCTGTGCTCCCCAAGGTACCTCGCGAGGTCCCTCGGAGTGGGAGTTTCCGCGAAATTCGGGATGGCGGCGGCGCTCTTCGACGACGTCAGAATTTTGTAGTCTGGTACATTGCTGGTCCAGCCGAGGTGCGGGCGGACATTAGCGGCCAGCAACGTTCGACTCCGGCGGGAACGACCGCAACGGTAAAGTTGGGTGGCGGACGGGGTCCCTGGCTGTTGCCGGTTTATCCCGGCCCCTCACCAGCGCCCGCGGGAAACGGGAAGGCCTCCAACGGCCAGCCGTTTCGAAAATGACAGCGGCGTACGTCCGTCACCGCGCGCAGTGGTCCACAATGTAAAGCGGCAGAGGGCGTCGACAGTCGTGCCCACGCACGCCTGCTGTTTGCCGCCGTCTGGGTAGACGTTACGTTGTCGTCCGTTGTCGTCGTTAGTTGCCCTTGCGAGAACGGTTGTGTTACATGGCCGACGTGCTCCGCAAGCTGCCGCTGGTCCTCGTCGTCGTGATTCTGCTTGTAGTTGTCGTCTTTGTTCAGGTGTGCATATTGGGGAGGTTGCCTTCACGTACTCACAGGAAACGAGGGGTGAGGAAGAGCGTGGCCATGGACGGGCGGCGGCCGAATGTTGCCACGTTGTCCGACACTTATCCCAGCCACAGGCCTGCGATCTGCACCGGTGTAGACAGAAGGGCGGCAGGTCCGTCGCCGTACGAAGGACTCCCGCCTCACATGCAGCCTCTGCCCGATTCGGACGAGGGGGAGGCGGACGTGGACTCCCGCCTCACATCCCGACGACGACGCGGGGCAGGTGACATTGGTCGGCAGGGGCACGAGGGGTGGTTCTGCGCCTCAGGAGACGTCCGAGAAGATGAGGGAGCGGCCTCGAGTGCAGGCGACTTCTGGCCCGTCAATTCCACGCACCACCGCTGGTTGCCCTGAGTGGATGAACCCCCCTCCTGCGTTCTCCAGGGGCCGCGACACCGTTCCTCGTCCAGTTGAACGGGGTGTGAGTGCGAAAGACTTCCCTTTCGAGGGCGCACGTGGAGATGGCAGGTGGGTATGGAAGGAGTCGAGGCAGGAGTTGCGGCGGCAGCAAGAAGAGTCCATAACGCAAGGTGTGCTGCAATTACGTGTGGGCGAGCGGGCCGGGCAAGCAGGCGCGGTTGGCGGGGGGGGGTGACGTCTCGACAGACGGTGACGAAGTTGAGTGCGACGCTGAGGAGGATGACAACGGTGACATGTTCCCTTTGCGTGCGCCGAACATGGGTGGCAGGGGCGGCAGAGGCAGGGCTTCGACGAATGCTGGGCGGAGGTGGAAGAGGCCGTCGGTGACCTTTGCTGATGCGGAAGGTGAGGGGGATGGGGAGGGTGGCCGGAATTTCTGGTCTGTGGATCACATGGTGGCCCTCATAAGGGCGAAGCAGGATCAGGACGCCCAACTGCAAGCGGCGGGGCACGCATTCGCACGGATGCGGTCGAGGGAGTGGAAATGGTTGGATGTCCGGGAGAGGTTGCTGAAGGTCGGTGTTGACAGGTCGGCAGACAAATGCGGGAAGAAATGGGATAATCTCATGCAACAGTTCAAAAAGATCCACACTTTCATGGGCATGTCGGGGAAGGAGGACTTCTTCCAGTTGACGAGTCAGCAGAGGGCAGAGAAAGATTCAGCTTCAACATGGATCGGGCCGTCTACGAGGAGATCAAAGGGGCGAAGGAGAGGAGCCACACTATCAGCCCGAGCAATGTTGCAGACACCGGTGGCGCAGGAGGTGTGCAACTCCCATCTGCTTAGTCGGCGACTCTGAAATCTGTGGGGGACGGGGATGCCGCTGGAGATGGCAACGACGAAGACGACAACTCAGCGCGTGGGCCCTCACAGACGACTGGAAGTCCGACCGGTTTCGGGAAGAGGAAAAACGTGCGGCAGCAGACTTTCGAGGCCTTAAGCGAGTGCATGGAGAAGCATGGGGCGTTGATGGCGTCGACGATGGAGAGCGCGAGCATGAGGCAATGCGAGGTGATGGAGAGCGCGAGCAAGAGGCAATGTTCCATTCAAATTCGGCAGTGTGAGGCTATCGAAGCGGAGGTGGAGGTCCAAAAGCAACACTGCGCTGCGTCCAATGAAGTTAGCAAGCTTATGTGTCAGGCGCTGATGGAAATAGCGAAGGCTATACGAGAGCGGTAGAGGGGAACGTCTGCCACAGGGCATTTTTCGGCAATGGATGCCACTCTGTTGCCACACACGTGTCGTGTACTTAAGTCGGATGGAGTTCATTCGCACTCGTAGTTCATTTCGTGCCATGGGTTTGTTTTCGGTTTGTGTCTGTAGAGGAGTGGCAGATTGCGTGTCGTGTGCGTACTTCTGTCGGTCTGTCCGTCTTCTCCATGGATTTATTCCATTGTTCATTGTGAAGCACGGAGTGCCCTTGTTTTTTTACTTATTTGTTTAT